TTTTTAAATATATTTTATTGATTTTTTTTACAGAGAGGAAGGGAGAGGGATAGAGAGTTAGAAACATCGATGAGAGAGAAACATTGATCAGCTGCCTCCTGCACACCCCTCACTGGGGATGTGCCTGCAACCAAGGTACATGCCCTTGACTGGAATCGAACCTGGGAGCCTTCAGTCCGCAGGCCGATGCTCTATCCACTGAGCCAAACTGGTCAGGGCAAGCCAGTCTGTTTTAAAGAAGAAGAGAACACATGTTTGTAAGCACTGGGCGGTTTCTGCCTTTCATGATCTGCCTAGCCTGTCTTTTGTTCCCATCTGCTGTTATAAGCACTTCATGTGACAGCTTCACGTGACAGCTTCACTTGGCTCTCTAGAACCTTCTTCATTGTCCTTCCCCAGTACTCTACTTCTGTTCTCAAAGGCTCTGTCCCCCTTCCCAGTGTCTCTGCCTCTTAGTTACCTCTAAGGCATGGCTCAGATTGCATATCCTGCAGGAGGCTTTTCCAGAACCTAGTCAGTTATTATCTGCCCCCGCTTCCCCGCACCTTTTATCTCACCTCTCTATCGCAGCTCTTGTTAAGTTTTGGCCAATGTATTACAGTTTCATAGTTATTTTTTTATATCCTCTGTGACTCTCATTTCATCCACACTTGGCTAGTAGACTACATTAGATATAACAAATGTTGAATACGTATTTATTGAATCCCATTGCAGACTCATGCCAGCAAGGTAATAGGAGAAAGGACTTTTACACAACATTTTTAAGAGCAGTTTCTTTTTGTAAGAGGACAAAATGGTTATATCAACTTTGACTACCCTATCCCATTTAATAGCTGTTGACTAATAAATAGGTCATAGGTTACTTTGGTGCATAGTCTGTCGGATGGATAGACGTGCAAACAGCAGTTTGAAAATACTGACTCCCTACACATGTAGGAAACATTAACATCCTTGGCCTCCTGGAATGTGTGCATTTGATGTGCCCAAGATTAGGGCACTCCACGGAGAACAAACAACGAGAGGGAGGGGGACAATAGAAACTTTTGTTCCTGTGAAGTGCCTGAAAGCACTATAAATGGATAGTCATCAGGCTGGTCAGGGGGTCAAAAGGCAGTGGGCCTGGGGCCTCAGGTGGAATTATTTCATAAAGTGTCCTCTTGCAAATACACTTTTTCATGTTTTTAAGTGGTACTTTCTAAACTACTTTTTCATGTTTTTAGAGATGTTTTCAAATTCCTTTTATTTTGAGAGGTGATTACCTTGACTTACATTTACTGCTTTTGAGATCTTTACTCTTTTGTTTTTTAATATAGCAATCTGGGTGCCTCACAGATACCTGATTTATTCAGGTTGTTTCTCTATATAATTGTTAATATTTATGGAAAATCTTTTTTTTTTAGTTTAAAAAAAGTTCTTTTCAACTTGCATTTCTTGGTGATGGGACTTAAAAAGTTACATTAAAAATGGCTTATTGTGGGACTTGTTTCAAAAACTGCATCTAAACCATCTATCAGGTGTACAGTTGACTGAAATATTATATTGGAAGGCACTCCTAGATCATTTATTTTTACAGTTCTGAAAAAAATGGCTTCCCTTTGAATTTCATGCCATGTCTAACATCAGATTTTAAACAAGCACATTTCTCTACCATGTACACTGTCCACTTTTCTCCTTCTTTACTTCTGCAAGCTTTCAAATTAAATACCTACTGAGCAGCACTGTCTAAGGCTCATTAGTGGTACAGGGTCCTGTTGGAGTGACAAGTAGGCAGGGAGGACCTGGGAGTAAAATTGGCAAATAGGCCTATAGAATCCAGGTGAGGGGAAGGTTAGTGAGGGTGAGTCAGGAAGTGTAGAAAACACCAAAAATAACCTTCACATCAGTTTCACAGGAATAATAGAGCTTTAAAGGAAATGATGTTTGAGAATTGCCAGAAACTGGGAGCATATCCCAGAATAGAGAACAGCCGGGGCCAATAGGGGAAGGAGCAGGTGTCGGGGACTTGAGAACTCAGGGTCACTGCTGACCCCATTCCCTCTGGTTTTTACGACTTGTCAGCTCTTCACTCTGGTTACTGAAGCCCGTCTTTTCCTGTCTCAAACACAAATCATTCCTTCCTCATGTCAACTGGACTTTCTACATATTATCACCAGGCTAATATTCCCAGAGTATTGATTTTTATCTGTTAATTTTACTGACGGTGTTAAACTTTCCATTTTCTATAGATAAAGTGTATGTTCCTCTGTCTGAAATTGAGGGAACGTCATCATCTGATACCGCTCACCCATGATTGCCTACTTCTCACTCTTCTACCAGCATTTACCACCTCCCCACACACACACATTTTTGTCTTTCCAAGCCTCCTTAGTGTCCCCTATTTTGTTGCACAATTCTCCTTATCTTGGGTAGTATTCTCCCTCTTCTTTCTACTCAAGCTTCAAGATCCAACTCAAGCCTCTTCTACAAGGCTTTCTGTACATATCTATATGGATATGCTTGCGTGATTTCTTTACAAATTTTGTATGTGTCACCTATTTTATTCATAAGTAAATGTTGCTTTAAATTAAAAACATGCTTGTTTTGTCCCTTCATCTAGACCAGTGGTTTTCAATCTGTGGGTCACGATCATTGGAAAACACATACAATATCAGATATTTACATTACGTTTCATAACAGTAGCAAAATTACAGTTATGAAGTAGCAACGAAAATAATTTTATGGTTGGGGGTCATCACAACATGAGGAACTGTATTAAGGGGTCACGGCATTAGGAAGGTTGAGAACCACTGATCTAGACTATAAGCTCTTTGACACCAGTGACCATGCTATACAATGTTTTCTCTCTGTTCTAGTATCTGGCATAGCCCCATGCACATATTTGGTACAAAGCAAGGTTTCTCAGTCTGGCAACATCACAGTTTCAGCTGAATAGTTTTTTGTTTGTTTGTTTGTTTGTTTTGGGGGGGGTGTGAGAGGGGGAAGGGGCTCTCTGACCATTGTAAGATGTTTAGCAGTACCAACTAGATGCCAGGAACACACTCTCCCTAGTGTGACAACCAAAATGTCTCCATTTATGCCAGTTGTCCCATGGGGGCTGAAATACCCGCAGCTGAGAATCATTGATAGAGAGTAAACAGAAAAAAATCTAAGCAGTATCTTGGCAGGAATCAAAGACTGTGAAAAATTTAAATGATGATTTTGTAGCATTTTTGGGTCTTGAGGAAAGACAAACTCAGTTGATAGAAGATAGTAAATGAAAAATAGATATTTTTATTTGCTGTGATAGGCTATAGAAAAGCCATTATAGATTGATGAGCAATTGCGACCCACCTAAGGTTAAGAAAAAGCAAGATGACAGAGGTATTCTTAAATTGAAATTCTAAAAAAGATTGAGTTGCAGTGTTTATTTTGAACCATTTTATACTTAGGAATACTGTTTCCAATAAAATAGTATTTTATTATTTAATTGGAAATTTATCTGGACTTCCAACAATTTATCTGTAGTTAAACAATATCTTTGGATTAAGAACAACTTTTTGAAATGTATTTTAAAAAAATATATTTCAGAGAGAAGAAGGGAGAGTGAGAAAGGGATAGAAACATTAATGATGAGAAAGAACCATTGATCAGCTTCTTCCTGCACACCCCCTACTGGGGATTTAGCCTGCAATCCGGGTATGTGCCCTTCCCAAATGGAACCGAGACCTCCTGGTTCATGGTTCATGAGTTGACACTCAACCTCCGAGCCACACTGGACGGACTTCATTGTATTTGAGAGAATGAGTTTGAAGTTATGAGTACAGGTTATTGCAAAGTTATAACTATTAACAAACACCAGTTGTGTTTATGCATAGTCTTACATATTTTTCTGACTATTAGAGTATTGACCTCAAGTTCAGCCAATTTTTCAGCCCAAAGTGATACACACACGCACACACATGAATATAACACAGGTGTGTTAATGTGTGGTTTAGACAGTGCTTACCAATCCAGAACACAGTGATTTTGTATATTTCTGCTACTTTTTATACGTTCTAAGTTGTTGGGTTTTTTTATTACTAAGCTAGTACATGATGTAGATACTATATGGTTGATGTTCTGCTGATCTAGAAATAATGCATGATATTCTCTTTTCACAGCTGTGTGCCAACCACAGTGCAAACACGGTGAATGTATCGGACCAAACAAGTGCAAGTGTCATCCTGGATATGCCGGCAAAACCTGCAATCAAGGTAGGGAGAGTGTGACACAGTCAACAATCATGAGCCCCCTCTACTCCTGCCTGATATAAAAATGTTAAGTTCTCATGCCTGGCCACTTTTTCATGACGATTGTTCTGAATATTTGAGCTGCATTTATTGAAAGATAGAAATATAATAATGGTAAATCTTTTAGAATTCATTTCATCGAAGGACAATTAAAAGAATTTCATCTTCTCATTCACTGCTGATAATTAAAATGCATTTTGAAAAAGAGAATTGCAGTGTCAGTAATGTTAGAAGCCTTACATTCTGCTGCTCCTTGTTCTGCCACTAACCAGTGGAGAAGCCTTATTAGGCTCCTTGGACCCAATTTGGTGAAAAGACCTTCATACTCACAGTCAGGTAGGACGTTTGATTTGAAATTCTGAGGTCCCTTCAAACTTTGAGCCCGTCTATTTTGCGATTAAATTCCCTTTAACTGTTGACCAGCTTGTATTCTCTGAGAAATAAAGATTTTGATGGACTTAGCAAGTTACTTTTAATTGGCATCAGTTACTTATAAAAGCAAACATTGATTTAGCACTAAGAGTACACCAGGTATTTTACATATATTATCTATTTTCATTATTACAACAACATCAGGAGGTAGAGTATTTATTATAATCAAGTTATTAAAAATAACATATTCATTGTTTAGTTGAAGGGATATAAGTGTCTTGTCCAAGTTCATAGAATTAGTTAGTAAAAGACCTACTATATCAACTTAGAGCTATTGTCTATAGAATTCATGTTCTTTTTACCAATTTAGTTGTGGATGAAGAAAATATTGGAAATGTGATCCTCTGGTTCATGCTAACAAGTATGACAAGGCTTGTCTTTTTAACCCAAAACTTTCTACCATTAGGAGAACACACACACACACACACACACACACACACACACACACACACACAAACAAAAAACAAAAAAACAAACAAAAAACCCCCCAGAAGTAAAGAAAATGTATGGTTAGAATTCACTAGAAAGATACAAGGATAAAATAGTCAGTTTTTAACTTACTGCTTAAAGCAATACTCCCTGTCATTTTAAATGTCAAATGAAACAATCATGTAGGGGTCTAACTTTCTCAAAGATATGAACTTGACCTCACCTGATACAGAAATGATATTGTTGAAGCACTGTTGTTCTTCAGTATCTGATACTCCTTGAGGTGTGCCTATAAACTCGTGTTTGTAGACGTAGTTTTCACAACATCCCGAACACTGGTGTTTGAAGGTATAGCTAATTGTTTCTGCACTGCTGGATGAAATCCATGCAGTAAAATGTGACATGTCCAATGGTAGGACAAGCTGTTATTCTAGAGTCTTCTAGATTATCTGCTACTTGATTGGTAGCCAAGTTTTTTCAATGCTTCTTTTCAGATAATGTTTTTTAACTTGGAATTTACCTGACATGCCTGGGTAGTATTTTTTAAATAAATGGGGTTCTTATTACCTCAGTTGACTCTTTTAAAAATCCATTTGGTTTTCCTTCTTCTGTCTTTCTCAAGTAGCAGCATGTTTGGTTTTAATTATTGAGTTATTAGTGTTCATCTTAAAGTCCCAGCATGCTTCTTTTTTAAAAGTGATGAACACAAATCATCAGAGATGTCATTAATATGTCCACACCATAAAACTTCTTGTCCTGATGCCAGGAATTTATATAAAGAAGATTATTCCAAATAGCTGCCGTTGAGATTGCAGAGAAAATTCATTTAAATTAATTTGCAGCGCATCATCAACTTTAATATGCTTCAGAAGACTCTCAAGCTATTATTGGAACAAGGATTCATCTCTGAGTATCTCTTATTTTCAGAAAACCAGTTTACCATGTACTTATTATCAGAAATAATAACTGGTTTTAGAAAATATAATAACTGTTTTTTAGAAAAACCAGTTGGGTGTTTGTTTGTTTTTTCAGTAATTCTAGAGAAAAATTGAAATATATGGAGTTGAAATCTTGCCTCCCAAAACTCTGTTCCTTAGGGGGAAAAGGATTCTATTAGTAGCAAAATGGGATTTTACACCTGCAAAAACTGTGCTGACACTGAAAATGTCATTTCAAATCCAATCTTGAATAGAAAGCTCCAGCTTACAGTGAAGATGAATGTGTTTCATTCGTCTTTCTTGTGGCCTTCCTTACCAAAACAGCAATTAGGAAAGTTCCTGATGGAAAGAAGTATGCCCTTTGAGAACAGGAACCCTTTGTATTGTCTCTCCGATTTCTGGGTTCCTGAAAACTATTATTAAAATGACTTGCACAGGATTAGTGTACAGTAAATATTTATTAAGTGAGTGACTGTTTCATACAAGAGTTCTTGGTCCTGAAAGCTGTAGGAACTTGAAACAGTCCCATGGAGGTGTCTGGTACCTTAGCCTTTACCGTGTGGATTACGAGCCCTGTGAGAAGCTGCCCTGAGTGAGCGGGGTAACTCAGAGAGCTGTCGAGGGACCCCCAGAAACGCTGATAGAGCAAATGGTCTATACCTGCTCTATGTCTCCATAACAAATTAGCATAGACTTTTGATCTGGACCATACATTTTAATAAAGTGGAAAACATACAGGAAATTAAATAAGTTTCTTTTTTTTCTTGAGGAGAGACATGTCAAGAAGAGGTACCTTGAAATAATTTCACAGAACTAGATATTAGCTTTTGATTAAAAGTTGGTTTGGGTATAAGGCATGGATCTGCATAAAAAGTTTGTTGCAAATTGTGTACTTTAAGAAGTCATTCCCTGGGAGCTTGCTTGGCTGCATGGACAGCAGGAGTAAATGACAAGCACTTGAGCGCTGTTGGAGCGGCCTGGGGAGAAGCCACTTTGGAACTGGCTTCATTTAATAGCCTGTCACAAGATTAGTATAATCTGCTCCTGGTGACTTGCTCCCCCTCCAGTCATTTTCTGGATTGCTATAGTCGGATCACATATAAAACCATAGGCTTGGACTGATCATTGTCATATTCTATAAGGTATGTGGTATCTTTCACAGTAGGTGAAATTCTAACCAGAACTCTGGCAAGATTTTTTTTTCCATCTTACTTTCTCTGGCAATTTTATTCTTGCATATTTTCCCCCTCCTTGAGTCTCTATGTACCCATACAAATCCCCTTTCCACTTCAGCCAAGAAAGGATACTATTAGAGATAATAATATTTTTATAACTTTCCCACTAGGGAATTATTTTTAGCATGGAATATATCATGTCATTGCAGTTTTTTAAGGAAAGATATTCTTTTGAATTCATAGTGTGCTTTATAATGAGTACAGAAGAAACAATTTATAAACATCAGTTACTAATGTTTTGACATGGTTCATGTGTCATATATTGAATTCCTTATCCCGAGAAAAGAATTAGTGTCTTGTAGCACATAATCAGACAGTAAACATTGGTGGACTAGTTAATTCTCAGAGTTGATTGCTTTTCTCAGCACAACAGCCTATATGCATTAACATTAATATCGAGGTAATTTCTTATAGGTTGTGTGATTTTAACACAGACACCAGTGTTCATTTAATTTGGAAGTTTAACTGACTATTACCAATGTAATAGTCTTGAAATAGGATATGAGTGCCTTTTTGACTCTCTACTTTTGAATCTCACCCATCTCACAATATTTTTAGTAAGCTAACCATGGGAACAGTTACTTTATTTTGTTTTATTTTTTTGCAGAAAACTTCTTATGGATATTCTAATTAAATGTGACCTAAATGTGACATAAGTTTTTATATTTGAGTGAAAACATTGATCATGCTATCTTTTTAAATAAAGTCTTTATGTAAATCATAACTTTGTGTGTAATTTTGGAGTATTTTAAACTATTGCGCAACATAATAAGGAAAAGTCGTAAGTTGGTCATTTAAGACTTCAGGATCTTGACACACAGCAGGTTGATTATAATCAATATTTGTATCATCATTGTTTATTTGTTCTTTTAGTTTTCTCTCATTGTTGATGATTAAAATCATGTTTTTTTAAAATTGACTATCCCTTTTTTACTGTTTTTTCCCCCATTAAATTTGTATGAGAATGACGGATTAACTTGTACTGTGTGTGTGTGTGTTCTTGGGAAGAAAGATGGCGGTGACAAATTTTCAGGAAAGTAAAAATTAAAAAAAAAAAGAGAGAGAAACTGGAAAAACTAGAAACTAACTTTGGTAAAGTATTCTTTTTGAACTCCACCAACTTGATGTAATTGTTTAATATATACTTATAAAGATTTTTAGGGCTAAAAATGACATCAGTTCAAAGTTGACTCTTATTACCTTCTTCCTGGTGTGAAGACGAGCACTCCTACCCAACTCCTCTTGACCAAGGCAGTGAGCAGCCTCTTTTCCAACCCCTGGATCAGCAAGCCACAAGTTTACCTTCAAGGGGTGAGCGTGCATTGTCTCGGGGGGTCTGCTCCTCCTACCTGCACGGCTTCCCGCGGTGTGTCACCTCTTGCACCTGTTCCGAAGACGCGCCCCAGAGCGCCCAGCCTCAGCACTGAGCATGTGAAGCAGGCAGCAGGGCCGTCGCCTGCTGCAGACTCTCTGTGCTCTGCTGTCTGGAGCCTCTGCTGTCCTCTCACTGCATCAAGTGTCGTTGCTCCTCTTCTTCTTTTCTGGGCTTCAAAGTGTTTTCTAAAAATCACATAACAAAATCACTTTTGTTTTCATATGTAGATGAAGTCAGGAATATCAGAGCAACTGAGATTGGGGTTTTGATGGCTTTTGCTAAGTAGGTTTTAGAAGTGAGCAAGTCCTCTTCACCACCATCCTTAGGGTGTAGCATGTTAGGTTACCAGAAATGAAACATACATTAGCTTCCTTCATTTTGTGTACATTTTCTAATATTAGAAAGCCTAAGTTCTGTTTCTATCACAGCCCGTAAGGAGCAAGTCACGGCATGTGTCTGGGTGTTAGCAAAACAATTAGTGATAGGAGGAGAGTAATTCCTGCCCTGTTTACCTGCAGGGCTGCTGTGAGAATGGAAACACCCCAAATATTAGTGTCTTCATTACGCTGGAAAGTTTCGTAGGAAGGTCAGGTGGCTGCATGCCTTTACAGTTCTCCTAAAAAAAAGTTACCCCTCACCCACTGATAGATTGAGGGACATAGAATGCCTGAATTAAAATCCTATAAATTAGAAATTACTCTCTCTCTGCTGATGGGGGACTTGATGGATGTGTACATCTTCTGCACAAAGAATCAGGGCCATGGGATTAATCTCAGTCACTGTGTCACTGCTATCTTCAAAGTTTAAAAGTGATGGCCGTTGACATAGTGACATCTGTTTCCCTCTGACCTCCACTTTAGTCAGATAAAATGTAAAAGCTTAGACTTTTGAGTCATTGCCCAGTTTAAGTCTCAAAGGGGAAAAAAAGTGCAAGTGCATTAAACAAATAATTATTTCCCCTTAAAAAACCCCTATTGGGTTGTCTGATGTAGTGAATCTCTTGGAGATTTTCAAGCTACTTTTCAGCGTCTGCATGCTAATAAAATTTCTATTCTTTTTCCCCCTGAAGTGTAATTATAATGCTATGCAGCTTGCATTTTTGTTCTAGACCAGCTCCTTTCTCCCTGTCCCCCTCCCTCAAGCTCCTGAATCCACCGACCTGCTTAAGTATACTCCTGACTTATAGATGCTCTTTAAGAATTGCACACTTAATAATTAAATCATTTGAATGTAAGTGGTTTACTTGTGAAGTTCTGTTCTTGGTGTGATAAGTCCATGATAGAATTCATTAATTTTTTAATTAAATATTTCCCTTTTAATTTATATTACATTATAAACTCCTAGAGAAAGAGCAAGATTAAAGTAAATTTAAAATAAACACACTAAAGATTTTTTCCCTAGGTTTCTTTATCAACTTTTAAGATTTATAAAGTGTAATCAAGCAGACTTTTATGTTATGTGTATTGTTCCACTTATTATTATAGGAGCATTTACTATAAGTTGAAAGTGTCATTTTTGAATTTCTGACTTAATTTGATAGGAACATAAGTGTTACTAGTTCTGTACTCCAAGAGATTTTTGGAAGCAGCCTATATTAACTCAGTTTTCTAAGGCAACAGGTCACTAAGAAAATAAGATATAATAATCAAGGATGGAAACCTGACAAAAAATTGGGGAAAAAGATGTTCATCCCCAGGATATTGGATGCTTTTGATCTTTAGAAGCTCCCTGCTTGAGCAAAAGTCTGGTATTTACTAAATATTGATAAGTATGGATTGTGGTGGGACCCTATTTCATCATTTCTGCAGTGGCTCTTGTGAAGTTTTGAGCAGACAGGTGCCTGTGGCAGGTGGGAGAGTAAGGGCAGCCATTGTGAACTTCAACACCTGGGAACTGGCACGGAGAGCCAGTGGCCGGCAGAGCAGGCTTTCTCAGATTGCTCCCAACATATTTGGATATTTACATGTCAATTTAACAACAGTAAAATAATCAATGTCTCTACACATACCATTGAACGATGCATGTTCCCTTGTTGCATATTGTTTCAGTGAATCCCAGGTTCTTTGGGAATTAGGACACCTTACCGATGTTTCATTTTCTTTCAGTTTAGTGATTCTTAACCCCAAAGTACTTTTTCTCATGGGAAGGGAAGGATCGATTGGGGTTGAAGAGCACCAGCTGCCCCAGTCTGAATCGTGGAGTCCCGCAGAGCAATGCTAAGGAGCCCTCCCTTCATTGGCCAAGAGAGCGAGAGGCTGCCTCAGCGGGGCCTCAGCTTTAGTCCAGAGACAGTGTCTGAAGAAATCTCCATCAGCATAAATATGCTGTGCATATAAGCTGCCTGGAGCTATAAACTCCTGACCGGTTCCCATCAGGAAACCCACAGAAGTTTCTGTGTCTCCTTAACAATAAACCTAAGGGTTCTTAATTGACACTTTTTACTTATCCTTCCCTCGAGATACGGAATTCGGCCTAACTCTATTTTTGTTGTTGTACTGTACCATTTTCTTTTTGTTTAGTGCAGAAAAGTATTTAAAACACAAAGCCTTTGCCTAACAGTGTACTCAGATTTAAATACTACATTCTATAATATCCGTCAGGGATTTATCAAAGTCAGGTGAGAATCTGCAGGGACATGAGGAATAAAAATCAATTCCTCCTAGAACATGAGGAAAGATTCTCTGACTTTAATTTTTAATAAATATTGAAATACAAAGTAGAAGAATATGAGAAGTGGAATGAATTTCTTTTACTTTCATTCTTGTTTTAAAATTTTTACTCTAACAGAGGAAGAAGTCACATTTTTGATGATACTATAATCTGCAAAGCATCTTCTTTGAGGAAAACTGTTTTTGAACTATCCTGAAATACAATTCTGTTTGGTACAGCCTTAACTGGGCAAGACGCAATAAAGTATAAAAATAAAGTATAAAATTGAATAAAGCCTGGGGGGTGACAACTGTTTATTATTTAATCTTTCCAGGCTTCACCCAGCTGGGGACCTGCTAACAGATGTGTGAACGTTAGAAAAAAAGACCAAGTTGGAAAGTCAGTAAATTATATAAAAAAAATTTAGGTGCGATAATTTGCAGGTTTTAAAAAGCAATGTAAAGTTGGTGGTTTAGTTAAGTGAAATATATAGATTTTTAATAAACAGCAGGTCAGATTTATATTAGATTAAGCTTGCAACTAGATTTCTGCTTTGATGACAGGTTAATAGGTCATCATATTATACTGGCAGTTCCAAATGAACATGTGGTCATATTTATTTTTAATGAAATCTATATTTTGGGCATTACTATTTCAGTGTTTATATGTCATTATGAGCTTTATGTTCACTTGAGGCAGTGTTCAACTTGGGTTGGAAAATTCTAATGTGCAATTTATTAATTCATTTCATATTGGTATTTAAACCAATAATCCTAAAATACATAATGATAGTCCATTACGTATTATTCATTAGTATTTCCATATGCTCCTCTTAACTACCAAATGAATGAAAACATACTGGAGGGTTGTTTTTTTTTTTAAAGTTTATTTTGTGATTTGAGTACATTACTAAAGTAGGAAGCTGAAGTTCCTTCTTTAACCTGAGGTCAGTATATAATCTATAAGATTGAACAAGAAAAACCACGATTGTGATCACTCTCATTCCTGTAGCTCTTAGCCTCTGGAAATGGAGCTTTCTTTTGGGAAGTTCAAAGCAGTCTACTGTTAGAATCAGGATATTTTCTCATATCTTCTTTAAACAAAGAGGGGAATAAGTCGATAGAGGAAGAATGTGTTGTCAAGAGTGACTCTAGGAGTAGAACCCAGATAGCTTGAGGATATTGAAGTCAGATAGATGACAGAGCACTACGAGGAGTCAGTATGCTGCTCTTTTAGGGACAATGAGGTAGGCACAGTGTACTCCAGAGGACGGAATCACATGTCCTATATAATGTAAGCTCCAGGAACTCACACGGCCTCTTCATTGTTAAAAGGCTTTCAGTCACCTCTTGTAGGAAACTCTTGGTTGCCCCTAGTGTAGCCAGCCTTAAAATTAAGACAGTGTGAACAGGCTCCATCTTATGTAAATAACCGGTTACCATAGCTTGACCCACTTTTCTTCATTTTTTCAATATAGAGAAGTATTTCAAATGGTTTACATTTGTGCGGACATTTTGTGATTTTTCTGCTTCAACTTCCACTCTTTTCAGATCTGAATGAGTGTGGCCTGAAGCCGCGGCCCTGCAAGCACAGGTGTATGAACACTTACGGCAGCTACAAGTGCTACTGTCTCAACGGGTACATGCTGATGCCGGATGGGTCCTGCTCAAGTATGTCAAGAATCTTAATTGTTTTACAAGTGCTGTGGGCTTGACTTCCTTCATGTTGTGCTCTGGTGGTATGAGAATGAAGGTGGCCTCCCAGACAGGATGGGAGTGTGTGTTTGTATGTGTCCCTAAGCAATCGAAAATCAAAAGAAGGGTTGCCCCTTTTAGATGGCTAGAATTCTTTTATCCTGGGTGCCAGCATTAAATTGATTTGGAAATGGTTTTAGAAGAAGAAGAATAAAACTAAGTGTATTTTCTTATGTTTTTTCCCAACATGTTTTTCCCTTTTGTCACTCTGGGCCTAGAGCTATTCCAGCTAGAAGGGGAGCATCAGTGATTATTTTAGGACCATTGTGCTTCCCATAAAGATGAGCTTTAAACTATTTGCTAGTAGAGAATCCATCAAGCCTGTTGTTCGGTTATAAACAACTCACAAATACCTTCTCACTTCATTTTTACATTTCAGTGTCATAGTCTAAGGATTAAGTTATGTCCCTTTTATTAATATCCACTTCAAATGAAAAAAAATGAATGATTACAGTAACATAAAAGTAGATTTCCTACTATCATTTGGATGTGTTATAAGATGGATGGTGCCATCAAATTCTCTGCAGGCTGAACATTGAATTGAGGTTGTGTGTATAGGATATCCAACAATCGGTGATTTGATTTTTATTTTTACTGAATTATCAGTTAAATTAGCTAATTATCAATCAGTCAGTCATCCACTATCTCTCTCTGAGTTGTGTTTTATAAAATAAAAAAGGTTAGCTAATTTTATTCAGCATGGCCTACTTAGCATGAGACATTTTGGAATGAAGTGGGTTCATGTTAAATCACATGTGACAGGGATGCTCAATTGCTCTAATATTGCCCAACTCAGTGGGAAATCTGCTGTCCCTAGAGAAATTTAATGGGAGCTTGACACAATTATGTGGATGCTTCACTTGAGACCAGCACTTAGCATGAATAATCTGGGGAAAATAACCTCAATTTTCCACTGTTTTTGGCCACTGGGAAAATTTACAGATAACTTATAAGAGATTAAGCTTTACATTTGTCTTGGAATTCCTCAAATGCATTAGAGGCCTTCCCCAGATGACAACAGAGCTGGGTCACTTCGTAATCCTCCTGATCTGTGGAGGAGGACAGTCGTTCCGCCCCTGTTGAATAATTGAGGCCTTTTTGTCTTCATTGTTGAGTCAGTGTCGCTGATTTCAGGACAGGTTAAGAGCGTAGTGATTTCAGTTGTAGAGTTTGTTCTCTGAGTCAGCCAGTCATATTCATTCCAGGTGGCCTGACGTGCTCCATGGCAAACTGTCAGTATGGCTGTGATGTTATCAAAGGACAGGTACGGTGCCAGTGCCCCTCTCCTGGCCTCCAGCTGGCTCCGGATGGGAGGACCTGTGTGGGTGAGTTGTAAAGCCAAGCCTCTCTGACTGTGGTCTCTCTAGGGAAAGGAAGAAAGTGAAAGGTGATGTGAATAAGAAAAAAAGGCAGTTACTTACATCAAGTCTTAGCTATCCTTTAGAAGATATCAAGATATCAGATGTCCCAGAAGAGGACCCCTCTCTGTGAATAGACTATAGAAACTTTTTTTTTCTAAAAATGAAGGGCAGGAGAAAGCTTCAGGCAGAGGGAACCACATCTGCAAAGGCATTGAAGTTTCAAGGAGCAAAATGTTCAGGGAAACAGAGCTTAGTATTTCTAGAATGTAAGGGGCAATGACTGATGAAACTGAACAGGTAGATAGCGCTAGATTGTATGTATTGCATTTAAGAGTTAGATTTCCCCCCTTAAAATTAGGGAAGGTAGTATAGGATTGTGGTAAGAGCCAGGGCTTTGGTTTTAAATTCAACTCTGCCATATACTTGATATGTAACCTTAGGCAAGAGACTTTCTTTCTCTGAACTTGAGTCAAAGTCATCTTTAAAATGGGAGTAATGACAAGTAGAACCATTGTAAGGATTAAATAAACTCAAGTATAGAAAGAGCTTAGCAACCTAGCATATAGTAAGTACTCAATGAAGGGAGGTATTTAGTTATTCAAGAGACATTTACTGATTACTTTCTATACTCCAGGCACTATGCTAAATGCAGGATGTACAGTAATGGAAAAAGCTGACAAGGTTTTGATCCTCACAAAGCTGATATTCTAATGGTGCAGAGACAGCAAAGAAGCAAATATATATATTTATATATATATATAAAAGCCAGAATAACTAGTCAGTATAATATGCACTGTGGCCAGCCAACCAGCCCAATCGGGGGCGGGGCTGGCCAGCCAACCTTCCATGGCCCCTCCCCCTGGCTGGCCCAGCCCAGTGAACTCCAATCGGGGCAGGTCAGCCGGACCCCACCCATGCACGAATTCGTGCACCGGGCCTCTAGTATCCAATAAAATTACAAACAATACTATGTGTTAATATGAGGACCTGAGAGAGAGAGAGAGAGAGAGAGAGAGAGAGAGAGAAAGAGAGAGAGAAACAGAGAGGGTCTATTTTAGAAAATAATGGTCAAGGAAAGCCTTGAAGTAAGACCTGGGCCATTGGCCATGAGAAGAATCAGCCAAGCAGGTGGAAACAATATAGGCACTGGAGTGAACAAGACCCCAATGTGGCTTCAGTACAGAGTGGGAGCATAAGGGGCGATGACTTAAGATACAGCCAGTGAGGTAGCCTGTTTATTATCGAGCCTTCAAGGACCTGGTGAGGAATGATGATTCAATTCAGAAAGCAAATAGAAACCGTAGAAGAGCTTTAGGCATGGCACTAATCCAATTATATGTTGTAATAAAACTATTTCGACTTGACTGGGAATGCTTTGAAGGAAGTAAGCTTGGCCGGAAAAGGTCAGTTTAGGAGACCTGGAAGATGGTAGCTTGGACTAGGATAGTGGCAGAGGGTGAAGAGAAGAGGAGACAAATTCAGATAGTCTTTCAGAGGTAGAATTAAGTGGGCCTGACGACTTAGGGTTAAGGGAAATAGGGCTGTCAAGAATGACTCACGTTTCAGTTCAAGCAACTAGGTGGGTACAGGTGCAGTGTGTGCTAAGATGCCTTGCAGTAGGAGGGCAGCCTGGGTGAGGAAGATGAATTGAAAGATGGAGATGTGGAATTTATGGTGCCTGTGGGGCCAACAGCTGGCGAATGTCTATGATGAGTCACTGTGTGCCAGGCAACCGTTTGCAGGCAGTTATTTATTTTAAAATACACTTCATCTGAACATGCTCCGAAAATACAGTTGGCTTATGTTTCAGATGTTGATGAATGTGCTACTGGAAGAGTTTCCTGCCCTAGATTTAGGCAGTGTGTCAACACTTTTGGGAGTTATATCTGCAAGTGCCATAAAGGCTTCGACCTCATGTACATTGGAGGCAAATACCAATGTCACGGTAAGGAGCCCAGTCTTTGCTTTTCCCTGTTTCTTCCTCTGGTGTGGAAAGGCCTCTTAATTGTGCTGAAGACTGACTTGCTAGGGGTGGGAGATGGCGGGCGGGGGGAGGTTCTGGCACTAAACAAACAGGAGTCCAGTTCAACCCCCAGTACTTCGGGACGCACAGGCAGTTTATTTCTTTGGTTTATCTGCCAGTTTTACACAGACCTTCACATTGCAGAAAACTTTTTTTGAAACTGTCTATATATTTTCATGTCATTCTATTTATCTCCCCAATAAACATCTCTTTTCCCTACTTCATGATGCAGATATAGATGAGTGCTCCCTGGGTCAGTATCAGTGCAGCAGCTTTGCTCACTGTTTCAACGTACATGGGTCCTACAAGTGCAAATGTAAAGATGGATACCACGGCGACGGACTGAGCTGCGTGTGTGAGTAACACTGGTCTTCCAGCTCTACATTCCAGCAGGGAATTAGATTGCACAAGGGCTGTTATTGGGGGAGTAAAGGATCACGATTAATTGATCAAAAAAGTACAATTTTCATTGCTGGTAATATTAGTCTCTGCTTTCTACAAAGAATAGAATCACGTGTTCAGGTATTTTTTAAAATTAAAGACTTGGTTATACTTTCTATGCTTAAAAGCATTCCATTACTTGACTAAAATTTCTCTGTAGCTTCCCTTTAGCTGACAAATTTTAGAGCCCTCCCAGAGAATTTCTTAAAATTAGAAATAAATGTTTGTCATTAGCATTAGAGTATGATAGAGGGATAATCAGAATATATTCTACATTTTTGGTTCCTCATTTTATTATGTCTCCTAATTCTAAAATATTCCCATATTTATGTTTTCTCTACCTTTAGTACTGTTTTGCTTTTTAAATTTTCATAAGCTCTGTTTGTAGTATGAATACATTAGTAGATAAACATGAAAAAATACCCTCCATGATGAAAGTTTTATAAACTAAAGTCCATAATTTAGCATATATTTCATGTAACAATAAATTTTAAAATTTCTGGAGTAAAATATTTACTAAAAATCCTGGGGCATAAAATCATGGGGATTAAAGGATTTTTTAAGTGTTATGCTCCTCCAGGAGTATATCGTATCAGACAGATTATATATTAATTTCTTTTGATGAAGATAAAGGAAAAATATTCCACAGATGATCTTGGTGACCTCTGAAAATTTCTTTTAAAAAAGCAATATAAGTGGGAAGAAAAATCAACTAAAATAATATGTATAACATTTAATAAAAATGTTTTACATGAGTCAAATTTATATGAAGTGTGGAAGAGAAATTAGTCTTTAGACAATTCTAAATATGATTTTATGATATACATGTACCATAGGGACACTTAATATAGACTCTATATATACATTTTTCATATTTTAAAAATTTAGAACATCTGTGCATTTTAAAAATCTCATTACCATCTGTTCCCACTTTACAAACACAACTTTTTTGTGTTTCAAATAATACAAATTTATTATAGAAATGCCAATATAATTTTTGCATTCACCCACCAGATGAATGTGTATCATATATCATATATGCACATATTTGTTATTTGGAAAACAGCATGACTTACAGTAGGGGGAATATTCTAAATGTGAAAAGTAAATCTAGTTGGCACATATTTTGATATGCTTGTTTTTTACAATTTGATATTTTACCTTTTGGGTTACACACTAATTTAAATCTTTTGACTCTTTTAGATATTCCAAAAGTCATGATTGAACCTTCAGGTCCAATTCATACACCACAGGGAAATGGTACCATTTCAAAGGGTGATGGAGGACACGGTAATTGGATTCCTGATGTCGGAAGTACTAGGTGGCCTCTGAGGACACCACATATTCCTCCTGTTGTTACCAACAGGCCGACTTCTAAGCCAACAACAAGACCTACACCAAAGCCAACAACGTGGCCTGCCACACCTCCACCCCCACCGCCTCCCACAGAACTCAGAAGGCCTCTACCACCACCAACGCAGGAAAGACCAATCATCAGACTGACCACTATAGCACCAGCTGCTACCACATCTCCAAGAGAGATTACAGTTGACAACAGGATACAGACAGATCCTCAGAAGCCCAGAGGAGATGTGTTCAGTAAGTCATATAAATATGCTCGCACATTTTTTGAGTGTTTTTTTTTTCAGTTTTATTGAGCTATAATTGACATACAGCACTGTAGAAGCTTAAGGTGTGCAACATAATGGTTTGACTTATATATTTGTGAAATGATTACCACAGTAACTAGTTAACACCCATCATCTTTTCTTTCTCTTGTCTGACTTATTTTACTTAACACGATGCCAACATTAATCTGTGTTGCAAATGGCACAATTTTCTTCTTGTTATTTCAGTGTGTGTGTGTGTGTGTGTGTGTGTGTGTGTGTGTGTATCACATTTTTTTATTCATTTATTCATCTGTGGACACAGGTTATTTCCATGTCTTGGATATTATAAATAGTGCTGCTATGAACATGGGATACAAATAATATCTCTACAATATAGTGTTTTCATTTCCTTTGGATGTATTTCCAGAAATAGGGTCCTTAATCATATGGTAGTCCTATTGTAAATTTGAGGACACTCCATACTGTTTTCTATAGTGGCTGTACCAATTTACAATCCTTCCAACAGTGCATGAGGGTTCCCTTTTCCCCCACATCTATTATCTCTTGTCTTTTTAATGCTAGGTGTGAGATGATATCTCATTGTGGTTTTGATTTGCGTTTCCCTAATAAATATTGATGTTGAGCATCTTTTCATGTACCAACTGACCATTCAAATATCTTCTTTGGACAAATGTCTATTCAGGTCCTTTGCCCATTTTTTAATTGGATTATTTGGGGGTTTTTTGTTTTTTGTTTTTGCTAGTGAGTTGTATAGTTTGGATATTAACCCCTTATTAGGTATATAGTTTGCACATTTTTTTCTCATTTCATGGTGTCTTTTTGTTGATTGGTTTTTTTGTTGATTGGTTTTCAGTAAGTCATATGAATGCTTGCATATTTTTTGAGTGTTTTATAAGCAGGAGCTTTTCAGTTTGTAGTCCACTTGTTTATTTCTTATTTTGTTGCTCGTGTGTTGTCATCTCCAAAAAATCATTACCAAGATCCATGTCTAGGAGCTTTTTTACTTTTTCTTTATTGATTAGTCTAGCAGCTTTTTGCCTATGTTTTCTTCTTGGAGTTTTATGTTTTCAGTTTTATGTTTTCTTGGTCTTATGTCCAAGTGTTTAATCCATGTCAAAGTAATGAGTGGTGTAAGATAGGGGTCTAGTTTCATACTTTTGCATGATTATCCAGTTTTCTACTTTACTCCATTGAGTATTCCTGGCTCCCTCATCAAATATTACTTGCCCGTATATGCTTGCATTTGTTTCTGGACTCTCAATTCTGTTCCATTGGTCTAAGAGTCTGTTTTTGTTTTGTTTGTTTTTTGTCAGTATCATGCTATTTTGATTACTATAGCTTTGCAGCATAGCTTGAAATAGGAAGTTGTGATGCCTACCGCTTTCTTCTTCTCTCAGGGTTGCTTTGACTTTTTGGGGTCCTTTGTGTAGCACATTTTTAATAAGCTGTTTATGATGACATTTCAGCAATAGGCCATGCATTGAATAAGTATAAAACTCATAAAAATAATCAGCTGTATAAAGTATGTGTCATATACTATTAAATATTACAACCCTGAATAAAAGTCAGAGAGTTGGGCAAATAAGTGTGTAGAAATGGAAGGAATATCAGTCATATAGTAGATCACAGCTCCTATCCAATATGACAATTCTCCTAACATATTCAGATTTACATGAAAACTCTCAGAGAGGGGGAACTTACTGTATCACATGCCATTTAACTTTTACTCTAACTGTCCATTCATTGAATCAGTAAACATTTTTTTAAATATTTTATTTTTTAAAATATATTTTTATTGATTTCAGAGAGGAAGAGAGATAACAACATCAACGATGAGAGAGAATCATTGATTGGCTGCCTCCTACATGCCCCACACTGGGGATTGAACCCACAACCTGGGCTTGTGCCCTTTACTGGAATTGAACCCAGGACCCTTCAGTCCGCAGGCTGACACTCTATCCATTGAGCCATATGGCTAGGGCTAATCAGTAAACATTTTTTGTTTAGTGTGTTTTAGCATGCCAGGCCCTGTGTGATTCACTGGGCTTACAAAGATAAAACAGAAAAGGTTACAGACTGGTGGAAAAGAGTCTCCCAAAAGCTAACTGTGGTACTTGGTTAGTGAAAGAGATTTGTGTAGCACAATCTGGGAGTAGAGAGAAGGGGTACCAATCAGTATTTGGGCAGGGAGTGTTTGGGGTGGGGGAGCTTCCTGAGTGAAATGGGGTAAGGGGACGAGAAAAGGGAGGCATTATAGTTAGCAGGGACAGTATAGCAAAGCACAAAGGTAGGAAGCAGCATAGCGTATGCAGTAAACCCCCAGTAAACTGGAGGGTTAAGTCAGGATTGATGAGAAAAACTGCATAGCTGTCCCTTGTATGTGCTGTAAGCTGGTGGTTAGATCTGGACTGGGCTAGATTAAAGACTCCCAGATTTTTAATGGGTGCTGGGTAAAGGGTGGTGCCACCAATGGAGATAAAGGCTATCGGTAATGAAGCAAGTTTTGAAGGAGGAAGAGGTTCCTTTATTACCAAACCAAAATTTGCAGTTTACAGCCTTGTTCCCTGTATTTTCCTGTCATGCTTCACTTTGTTTATTCTTAGCTACCTTTGCATTCACTCCTCTCTCCTCTTCTCCTTTTGACGTTACTGGTTTCTTCTTTTTCCACTCCCTGATGGAACTCAGCTTTGCTCCTTTTAGATTGTACGCATTTGCAGTTTTTTACTAGGTGAAAAGAATACTGAATTTCGTGATTTTTTTTTAAGAGAAAAGCTTTTTTTTTTTTTTACTTCTATGTGACTCTCAATCAAATGTTTTCTTCTAGGTCACTGTCCTTTTAAAATGAAATGGAGATTCTCCAATTCTGAAATACTTGTAATTGTGTACATTTTAAACAATAAATATGATTTTTTAGAGGGCTTAGATGGTAGATCTAATAACATATTTATATGTGCATAACTATTATTTTTTGAAAAGCACATTTTCTTTTTTTTTATTCCAATTTTTTTTATTGCTTAAAGTATTACAAAGAGTATTATATATGTCTCCTTTTGAAAAGCACATTTTCTGATCATTTTTATCCTCCCACCTTCTCTTTCTTTCTCCCTCCCCTTCTTTACTTTCCTTCTCCTTTCCCATCTCTCCTCTCCCTCCTCCTTCTCCCTCTCATGTCTCTCTTTTTCTTACTCTATTTTTTTCTTTATCTTTTCGTAATCATACAGTGGAATGTTTATTCATGGATGCTTAAGTAACTGTAGTATTTATATTATTCTGCTGCTTAAGGTAGAGTTGTAAGAACTTGGCTATTTCATATAAAAAGATACTCTAACATAGATATCAACATCTTTCTGAGTCTTCTAATGTTTTTTCCTTTTTTAAGCTCTCTTTTTCTTCCCATTATTCTTCTCCATACTGACACACATAGGAATTAGGAATAACATTGAAGGTCGCCAGTAGAAATGAGCAGGATAAAATTGGGGAGCATGGAGTTCTGGTGATGTTTGAAAGCACTCATTCTGAGAGAGTGTGATCTTAGAGATAGGCCCTGGGAGAGAATGGCCTTGATCCTGGGCCAAGGCGGCTGCATGCCACAGAGAGCAGTGGGCACTCCTGCCAAAGATGAACATCCCCTCTCACTTCATCCCCAGCTAGAGCTGCTGGTGAATGTTCGTGTGAATGAGGATATTTTGGACACTTAATTTGCTATCTTGTGATTGTAGCGTATATTCTGAATGAGGGAAGCGTTCAAGTGTTTGGTTCAGGACAAATAACTGGTGTTTATTCACTGTGAAAACAGAAAGGAACCTTATCGCTACTTTAGTTCAACACCATTTCTTTGTTCAATATTTTCTTCACTTCTGGCATACTAATTTTCTTAAGCCATTATTCTCCACAGGTCTGAGAATAAAATCTGGCTGTCCTCATTTCATGAATTTTCAGGTGATATTAATTACAGCCACTGTTTGGAAGATTCCAAATAGCCTCAAACTTCAACAGTTATATTTTTCTTTACATTGAAAGATATGTTATTTAATGGTAGAAGTTATTAAACAATGTTTTTCTTTATAATGTGTGTGAAGATATTCTAAAAGGAAATAAGAAAAAAAATTGTAACAAGAATACCGCTCTAGCCCAGACTTCTCCCCAAATTCTAGACTTGAAAATCGCCTGCCTGTTTAACCTCTCCAGTTTAGATGAAACCAGATGTTCAGACCAGTTGTTGAATTGTGCCTCAACTTCATCCCAAACACACTCCACCCAGTCTTTCACACCCTACAATATGGCACCTTCATCTTACAGTTGCTACAGCTGAAGGACTTGGAGTCATAGTAAATTAATCTCTTTATACCCACATCCAATCTACAAGGAAATCCTGTTAGCCCTACCTTTAAATTATATTGAAACTAGGGGCCCAGTGCACGAATTCATGCACCTTGAAAGGAACTGTGGGCCGCGAAGCTGCAGTGGGCGGGTCTTGGCCCATCCTCCACACCCCGCCCAGCCACTCCCACCGCAGCCCCTGATCCCCAGTCTGCCGGCAGCCCCACTCCTGCTGCCACTGCTCCCACATGCTGACGGCGCCGGCCCTGCTCGCACCCGTTGACAGAGTGGAGCAATTGGGGCCAGCGCCAGCAGTGGGGCCAGCGCTTTCAGCGGGTGCAAGCAGTGACTGCCGTCCCAATAACCCCTGAGGAGCAGGGGGAGGTGGAGAAGCCCTCAGGGGCAATTGGTGCCAGCAGCCGCCGCTCACACCCACTGACAGTGCCGAGCGATCAGGACCAGCGCCAGGCACCAGCAGAAAGTGTGAGCAGCGGCTCTGGCACTGACTGTGGGTGTGAGCGGGGCCATCACCGGCAGCAGGTGCAAGAGGTGGCTGCTGGCCCTGATGGCCCCTCAGGAGCAGGGGGAGGTGGAGAAGCCCTGAGGGACAATCAAGGCCAGCAGCCACCACTCATACCCGCTGATGGT